CCCCAAAACCCCAAAACCCCAAAACCCCAAAACCCCGAACAATATATAATATATTGATTCTGAAAATAGCGAAATATGGTAAGAAGCTAAACCAAGAAATGAAGATTTTAATAAGCTCTTAGATTGACAAAGTTGGTTTGATATTTTTGATATTTTGAGCAATTAATAGTGTTAAAAACATTTATGAAACAAAACGGATAGAATAAACTCTAAAAAGTTCCATAATCGATCTTTACCCTCATCCACAATATAGAGGAAACAAAGCAATCGGATCTGGTCGCCTGAGATCAGGCTGGCCAATAACCTGAGAACTTCCCAGCCCCAAAAAGCCAGTAGGAGGGTCTCTTTATACCCAATCGTTAAGGAATGAAACAGGGGATTTAAGAAGACACAAGGAAGTATTTGGAAAAATAGAATAAATCGTCCCAAGTAGGTAGTAATAAGGATTATATTATATTCTCTCGGTTTGAACATAAAAGACATAAACCGTATCTTTTATTAATGTGGTAGCTCAATATAAATATTTTATAACACAATCTCTTTAGGCCTAAAAAGGTAATAAATCTAATGAAGGAAAGCCAAGATACAAAAGAAATAATACAGTATGTGGAATTTCAATACAATTTAAATTATCATTAGAAAAATAAAGTTCGAGTTCGTCAAGCCAAGCTCTAACACCTACAAGGCATACAGTCGTAAAATTATGAACTCAAGCGATGTGTGGAACACTTTTTCCGAAAACCGTGAAATTTCTACACTCCAAATCGACCGAGCAAAAGAAGACGTAATACAGGTCATTAGGGATTACTGAAGTAAACCAGTCCAAAGTAATCATTTGACTATTATATAAATTTATGAAGAGTTTCACAGAGTATTCTCTGAACAGAACTCTCAATTCACTCAGAAGTCTTACTTACGATCAGCTTCTCACTTTTTCTTAGAATCAGACCCTTTGGTGAAGAACCTGTTAAAGAACCAGAATATTTTCAAAGCTTTTATTACTGAGAAGCTCCTTCTTAAGAAACAGTTAAAAGCAAGGGAGGATGGAAATATCCTCAAAAATCAATATATTGATGAAGTAAGGACTTTCTTGATGATCTCCTAGCTACTCGAAATATTGAATGACGAAGAATTCTACTATTCTGTTGTCGGTACCTCCATTAGTTCGATTTATTTCTAGAAGCTGCACTTGAGTTCTGTCCAAAAAGAAAAACTCGAAGAAAATAAGACAGACACCAAATTGTTTGACAGTATGCGAATTTCTCCTGAAGGAAAGACTAGCACCGGCACGAATTCTATTATGTAAGCAAAATAGGATATTTTTAGACTAAATTTACAGAATACACACCAAAAGACAGTTGAGTCAACAATTGGATCAGCAGATGAGGCATCAAACACTAGTAATACCTGAACTGACTTTAGAAATCATTAAGCCCATTCAAAGGATTGATACGATAATTGACTTGAGTAAATAAAATTCCTGTACGGAAAGATACCCACATGAAGATCTCTAGTTATATGAGAAAGCAGATCAACTTTAAAGGTCATCGACAAAGTGATATGAGGAAACCAAGCAAGTTTCAACAGTCTGAAGAGGAAGAGAAACATAGGACGAGAAGGGAAATCCAAAGGAGCTGATTCTCTTCGGCAAATATTACTAGAGATTTACTGCCTGAAGTAAATGATAACGATGGCAAAAACGAGCTTAATAATACTTTCAAGAATCCCAGAAATAATAAAGCCAAATATTTCAAAGCAAGAAATATAGCCAACAACACCACCCTCTACGGCACCTTACACAAACTAAGCATCCTCAAATCCACCTTACCCACTTCCAAACCCCCCAAATCCACCTTTCTCACCCAAAACTCCCCTTTAGAACCCCAAAATTCCCCTCCCTTCACTAACCCCAAAATGCCAAAAGCCCCAAAAATCCTCTCTATTAGCCCCACTCCTACCACCCAGCCCCTCTAAAGGCCAGTTCAGGTAGGCACAGATTTTTAATTTTTGGTTTTTTCTTCAGGATTTGGTAGGGTCAGGGTATGGGGTTTGGAATGTAGTGGTGATAAGGGTTATAGGGATTCAGTGAATTTGTGCAGGTATGCAAGAAAATTCAGAATGAGTAAACATGAACTCCAAAGTAGCAAGTAAGTTCCTACTCACTAAACCTAGACCTCCTAGCAAATTCCCATAAAAGGAAATGTCCATTTCGAATCCTCCAAAAAGAGTAAATCCTTCTTCCCAACTCCCATCTAGATCTCTCCAATCAAAACCCAAACTACGAAAGAAAATATTCTCTTCTCGAAGACACAAGAACACTATGAGAAACTTCTCAATGAAAATCTAATTAACTCAATAAACTACTCCATTAACGGGGTTTTGGGGTTTTGGGGTTTTGGGGTTTTGGGG